CTAAAGTCCCCTTTCCATGGGGTTCTAGATATTGGCCAGTTCCATTCTCCTAAGATGAAGCCTTGCAAATCGCCGGATTATTTCATTAAGGTCAGTTTCCATATTGTAGTGGATATGAGGCAAGGCGAGTCCAACATTTTCCAGATTTCAACTTGGAAGGCATTTTTATTACTAAAAATATATTTATTATGAAACATCCGACCGAATTCGGTAAATCGGTGGAAAACGGCGTGGATCCGTGCCTGCCCAATTCCCGGGCCCAATTGTCCTCTTGGTGAATCTCCAACAAGTAGCCGTTGTCAGGTTGAATGTTGGCACCTCTGATTGTGAAAGTAGAACTTTTTTTATTATGAACTGCATAAACTTTCTTAGTTGAAAGCCGAAAAGATGGAAAACTACTGTTTGAGACTCAAATGACAGCAATAAAACTGGGATGGGATTCGCACTCTCGCGGAACTCTCGATGTTAGATAGGATTTCGCGACGTGTTGACACTAAATAACATCGATCGAAACCAGCGTTCCTTGGGAAGACCATAAGCCGCGTCGTTCAATGCAATACAGCTGAGTCTATTACAGATTTTCAACATTTTTTTAGCGATATAAACTGTAAACGACAGTATTGACCATTTTATAACTCAAACTAACTCAAATATAACATCTTCGCTGCGATCGATCAAGTGAGCGGAAGTCGACGGGATCATTTCAGTCATTTTGTAAGTCGCCGCTGACATATCGATGACTCATCTGGTTTGGGTCGATGTTACCTAGTGCTTTCCGATTTCAAATGTCATAGCGTAGAGAGTTATGGGAAATGATAGGTAGGGGAGAGCTGCGGGGGTAGAAGATGTAAACAGAGTATTAAACACATGTTTTTTTTATCTACTGCAGCTTTTAAGGGGATTTTTGTACTGAAAAAATCATTAAAAGAAAAAACAAACAAGAATGGTCAAGTACTGAAGAAGCCTCAAATGAGACTGTTGCTAGAATTTCTGGAGATACCTTTTATCTAATCGAGACAGACATGTACATTATGCCTTTCCATTTGTCGACTTCTTCATCAGTGCTGCCAAGACTTAACAGCAAGTTACCCGTCTCAATAACTGTATACTGTATACATTCATTAAACAATAATGAAGTGCTCCGTAAATTCGAAAAAAAATGCACTTTTGATGAAAGAAAATGTTTGTCTTAAACTACTATGGACATAAGAAAGTAATGTTCTGAAATCGGCTGAGATGACTGTCAACAACCCCGTACTGACCACCAGAAGGAAATCAAAAAAGTGGAAATTGTGTTACATTTATATCAGTAGTTTGATTTTGCCGTTCGCCGTTGATTATTTATTTCATCGCCAATCTTCTTTAAAAAGTAAGAACTTCGAGGAAAGTTTAAATTATTAATCAGTGAGTCCGCAAAAAAAGATGATTACAATGATATAAAACTGACGTGATACAACTCACTTTGACTCTGAAGATGACTACCGCACAGGTTGTCGAAACGTCAGTCACTGTCAACAACAACAGTCCTATTCAGGACTAAGTTTACCCGGATGATCAAACACAACCTACTTTTGAAATGACTCCTGGGTTCAAACCTTTCACAATGATATAAAAATCGGACTGGCGCGTCTTTCCATTACAAGGGCGGCAGGTGTTATTTTGTGCTTTTAATATTTTGACAAAGATGATATTTTAACAAAGTGGGATCATTAGTCGTGAAATAGTATAATTCAAACATGGCACTGCAGTTCCAAATAAGAACTATCAGTAAACTTGAACTCAATTTGAGACCGTCTCAATAACTGTATACTGTATACATTCATTAAACAATGATGAAGTGCTCCGTAAATTCGAAAAAAATGCACTTTTGATGACAGAAAAAGTTTGTCTTAAAGTACTATGGACATAAGAAAGTAATGTTCTGAAATCGGCTGAGATGACTGGCAACAATTCTTGCACAGCAGAAATACAATGTACAATGTTAAGAAAATAGTACGATTAGTAATTTGTCGGGGGAAGGATTTACCTTCCTTTGCGATTGATAGGTAGTGTCGACCGATCTATCGGTCGATATAATAGTCGATAGTCGGTCGACACTCGGTCGACATAGCGGTTGATAGTCAGTCGACAGTCGGTCGATCGTGGGATAGACTATCGGCCGAGTATCGGTCGATATTTCGACGACGCACCTCGACCGACTATCAGTTATATGTCGGTGACATATCGGTCAACTGTCGGTGGTAGATCGGTCAACTGTCGGTCGAATATCAGTCGTGTGTTAATTTAGCAGGTGAGTCCAATGGCTGTCTTTTTAAGCAATGACATCATTAATTACTGTTATCACGCGTTGGGGGAACACGCGGCAGTTCGAGGCGCGATTACTCTATGAAGCGAACCGAAGAGCACTGGTAAATAGGGACATGGTAACCTTTTTTTTTTTGCCTGTTTGTATCATCACCGATCGTCTGATTTTTAGCTGTTAAACAGAACCTGTCAGAGCATAAGTTGAATCTGCTACTCCTTTCGTCCCGCATTCGAAGAATACTTAAAGAAGGACGAGTGAAACGACTGCTCCCGCAGTCCCCAAGTGGACGGATAATGAATAGGAAGGGCAGTTCATGACATGCTTTAAGAGCGAGGAATGCGCATCTCTTATTATCGGGCTTTGACCTGCTTCATCACGCCGAGTTCTCGCTTGTGCGGAGACCGCAAATTAAACTTATATATTTCTGCACTGAAGACGGGAACAGTCCTTTGTTTAACGATCAGTTGTTGATAAAACGCGCTGATAATGCGCTGAGGAAGGTGACAAAATATCCAGCAGACTGAACACATTCATTTATTGTGGGAATGATTTCAATTTACAGCAAGAAAAATACTGATACGTTCTCATTACATTATCCTGTCCTTTTGCCCTGTCCTTTCGCGTTATACTGTGTTCAAAATAAAGACGACCCTGCGTAACAGAAATTATTATTGAATGGTAAGTAACTTTTGGTTATCCAATAAAAGGAAAACAGTATGTGCCGCGTTAACATCAATATTCAAGCTAGAAAACGCTTTCTAATTTCTTGTTTTCCAACCAAAACAATGTAGGAAATACTAGTTAACAAAGGTCATTGATTTCTGTTTACAGTGGATACTGTTCTGCGATGTCATGCATCACAACAGCCATTAGGGTGAGGCTCACCATGCCCTCGTCTCCACATGAATTCTTTAAGGTATTCTTGCTATCTTCTGACTATCGACCAAGTGTCGACCGACCATCGACCGAGCGTTGACCAATGACTGACCGATACATCGGTGAAGTATCGACGAACTATCGGCAAAGTGTCGGCGAAAAGTCGGCGAAGTGTCGGTGAAGTATCGGTGAACAAAAAGCTATATCGGCCGAGACACATCTGGAAAGACTATTGACCGTGTCTCGACCGAGTGTCGTCCGACTATCGTCCGAGTCTCGACCGACTATCCACCGACTATCGACCGCTATATCGACCGACTATCGACCGACTATCGACCGAATATCGACCGAGTGTCGAATGAGTATTGACCGAGTGTCGACCGAGTGTCGACCGACTATCGACCGCTATATCGACCGGTACATATCGGTCCACACTACCTACAGTAAACATGATCCTGAAAGTCTACTGTCGTGTTAATGAATTACAGACAAGACACTGACAAGAGAGAACAATTATCCCTGGCTTGAATTGAGGGAGGAAAACAAACCTTTCGCAGTGCGTCGTTCAAGACGTATTTCGAAGGAAAGTTTGTCCAAACACATGATGCATCTTGTGCCCGTCTTTGTACTTGAGACGCATAACCAGACGAACTACAAATGTTTGCTCAAGTTCGTCTAGATGGATAATCAACTCCAGGGAAATTCGCCTACATTTTCCATTTTCAGGAAATTGGAATAAGCCCGATAAAGATTGAAAAAAAGGGAATTCATTTTAAAAGTGACGTTTTCGCTGCCGTTGCCGTCGTCGATGCTAAAGCTCCCTAATATGGCCGCCGTGACGTCATGTGAAAACATTGTATACAGATATCAGTAAGCAATAGGTTTGTTCACACCATACTGAAGAGCCTTTCGTGTAGCCAGAAAAGCTATCCCGCGGTATAGTATGAACTGCAACTTCATAGAATTAACTGTCACAGCCCCTATGCGTGAACAGAAGCTACAAAGTTTTGAGTTTGAAACGACCAAGAAAACTCATCAAAAATTATTCGACAAGTTACTTTTCTGAAGTCTTAAAATATTGAAACATCACCAAGTGCTCTCGCTTACTTGTTTTTGAATTGTTTTTATTCTAGTGAGGACATAATTTTTTGTCTTTAGATGAAATGGCTTCGAATTTGTCCATCTTGGCTTTGTACGTTCTATTTATGATATCAGGTGGGTAAAATCTGCTACAGAATTAAGGTCTTAACACCGGCTCACGCTGCTTTGGTTACCTTAAATAGTTGAAGTTAAGGTTTCCTACTACCACGCCTTTAATTCATTAATTAAGCAAAATCAGAAGAAGGAAAACTGCATCAGTACTCTAGGGAGAGGACTGTCTTTAAGAAGAAAAGAAAGTGGAATGATTAAAAAAAAACCATTCTTTTTTAAGTTTTGAGATACCTTGTGTTGTTAAAAACAACAATCTTGACCAAGCTTGTTCGGTCTAGATAGATGGATACTGGCCAAGTTTATTTTTTCTCTTCCTTTTTATGGACCGAGAGGAACACGAGGTCAATGAAAGAGAGGAGAGGCCAGTTCCAGCCATCTTTTACCGAACAAGCGAACTAGGCGAAGAAACTCTGTCCTTGAGGGACAAAGTAGGAAATCCCGAGCGCCGAAGATAGGCCCATCTCGCTCGCTCGGGTAGCAAATCAAAACGCAGCATTCACTTCATCTTGCGTAAACAGTAATATAATATTCGCTTGTTTTAGGCCGCCAATGGGCGAAAGTTGTAAACTTTTAATGACCAGACTCTTTCAAATTTTCACTTGCAGATGCAGAGCCATGCGCACAGCAAAATATCACAGTATGGAGTGGCACGCTCCAGTCGCCTAATTACCCATCCCACTACTCAAAAAATATGGACTGTTACTGGCTGATTCGAGTTGCTGAAGGAAACAACATTGAAATAGATTTTCAAGATTTATCGGTGAGAATAAAAAGAAAGGAATGACTAACGTTAAGTTTGTAAATCTTCAGCATTTTATAATGCTTTAATTGTATTTATGGTATTTTGTCCATGAATATTTATGTGAAAATCCTGGACGCTGAAGCCGGCGTTTTGTCAACTCATTTCTTCTTTAAATGGAAACGAGTTTAACTTTATCTTAAGTTATTTTAGACGTCAATTGGTCCAACTCACATTCTTCCTTTGCAGATTGGCCTTTTACTTTCCAAGTTTACTACAATAACAGCTAAGGACAGGTTATGTTTGTCTCCCAACAAAAGATTACGGCCCGTTTTGGTTTCAGTATTGACGCCATGCTTCTGTGGGTGGTTTTAAAGAGTATATTTAACAATTATTCGCCGAAGGCGAAGTTAATATTGTTGAATAATCCCGGGGATTATTCAACAATATTAACTGAGCCTGAGGTGAATAATTGTTTTAGTATATTCACACGAAGTGATCTCAACAGAATCAGAAAGGAAACCATTAAAAAACGGTTAGTTTGAATGACGGGTGAGTTCATGCGTGAACACGAAGCCGTAAACAGCGGATGCACAAAAGTTAGATCTTTACAGTATCTTCAAAAATGGCAAATGATAGTTTTAATCTTTTTGTATCGAGTTTTGTAAGCTTTAGCATCAACGGTTTAAAAGAAACGCCGAAAATTTATATTACTACCCGATTCTAAGAAGAAGAGCCTTATTTGTTTCTTTCAACTCACCGTGAATGAGAAAGTTTTCTTTGTCGCTTCTTGCAAATGCTGTCAACAGCGGCTACGATCAAGGTGAGCGTTGTTTATCTCCAATGTTCTTTGCTTTGTTAACTTGCTGGCACGTACAATTTTCGAAAATATTTGCCTTCCTCTTTTCTCCATGAATTAACTTCTATTTATAGGCAAAATTGGTCTTGCGAGAAAATCCCGAAATCATAAAAGTGACAAAGCGGCCTCGTTTTCCTCTGTCGTGGTAAACATAGCTTCGAGTCAGCTACAGTTAACCACTTCACAGTAGATCACGCTGTTTAAACACCATGAAGTCTTTTCTTGCCTTCAAAGTCATCAGCACTTGGATATTCGTGTATTTTCAAAAAGGCTTCACTATGAAACTTTGGCAAAACACCCAGTTCACGACAGCGATTTTGTTCTGCTTGATATTCACCGCCTAGCGCGGTGAATATAACGTCATAGTCCGAAATAGCGAACCAATCAGATTGCTTGAATTACCAAGATCACTGAGTGTGAATGTACTAAAGCTGTATATAATACATAGAGTAATTTTCTCTTCTCTCCTTTGATTTCAGATGACAGCGTATCCAGATCGTACGGTATGGATTATGTTTCCGCTGTTACTCCAATTACTGTGAATATATCATGAATTATTACTAGACAAAGTAGGCAAGGATCCTGTAAGAAAACCACACGTATATTAATTGATCTCTACATGTAAAAGCTGATGCTACTGGGACGATATTTGCATCGATATTGGGAAAGTGAATTCTTTAAAAAAAAACAATTCCCTCTGCGACTGGTAACGTGAATTGAAAAGGAGATTTCGTCTTATGGAGTAGCTGGGACGAAAGAAGATAAAATCACGTCCAGTTTTAGTTAGTTGACGATATTCATTTGTCTTAAGATTGTTAATAACCTAACTCCACCATATCTTTAAAAAATTCTTCCGGCTAGAGTCTAGGAACCCACTTTTCTTTGCGTTTCTCTCAACTCTTGTCAGTTTATCTATTCGTGGTGCGTGTTGCCGGCCTATATCATAGAGTAAATCATGGAGTTATGAAAAATTGACGGTTGGGTGGGAAAATATATCATTGATATCCTAACCTGTGAGCATACATAATAGGAATTTTAATTTGAAAAAAAGTACTGGCGGCAGAGCCGGAAGACAATACGTAGAATACAGCTTGAAAATAAATAAAGTGAAGAGAATTAAAGTGACCCCTGGGAATTAGAGCGTATTTAAAAGAAAAATGTGTTATTTCAGTCTGTGTATTTGTGATGTATGAAAGGAAAAGCCGTTCGACACTTCTCCGAGTAAATTTCTAGGGTACAAGCAGACGATAAACGAGGCCTGAGTTTTTTAGTAAGTGTTTGTTTATAGTTTTTTAGATTTCTTTATTTGCCTATGGAAATAATTTCATCGAGGTCACAATCGGTTAAGTGATGGCGGAATCCCGAGGAAGACAAGATATTCTCATGTGTTTGGTAGCCTGCGTAGCAGGCGCTTGGAAGTAGTGGGCACAAGAAAAAACGGGCGCGCGAGAAGGAGACGGGTTTAATCTGGTGCTCGAGACGTTTTCTTTTGGCTTAAAGGTTTAAAAACAATTGGACTCGACGGTAGCCTGAGTAGCAGGCGCTCGCCAACGCGACAGTCAAATGGTTTTACAGTTGAATGGTTAGACAGGGGTTAGCTTCAAAGAGCGATACGCATTTTGAATCCATATGGTTCCAGGCTTTCCTTTCGCCTTAACGGACTCATCTGGCCCATGGTCAAATTATCAGCTGAGTATTTACCTCAACGGGCTGAGGTTTTGGCACAATTAACGGCTCAATTTCGGCGAAGAATTCTTTGATTTATCGCATGCGGTACAAAAGTCGCTTTAGACGCAAAACTGATTTGCTTCGCACCGTTCCTTTCTTTTCTCCCGAGACTAGCAAGCTAGAGTCGGCAGTTGTTTGCTCCGAAAAGAAGAATTTTTACCCGTCACATCACTTCTGCTGCATGCAAAGAGAAAAATTATCTCGATGAAGGAGGATTTGATCGATGGACACATAGACATCTCGTATTCCTCTAGATTCACCACTAAAACGCTCTGGAACGAGACGTTGATGAATACTTCCACAAGAAAAAGACATCTAGCATATAAAAATAGCCATTATTATTATAAACACTCACCTCGTTTATAATCTGTTTGTTCTCTGAAATTTATTAGAAATCTCTTGATCTCATCCACGTGCGTTTTCCGTGATTTCCTCGCCCAGGAGTGAATACCCTGGATAATAAGAAAACCAAAAGACTGCGCATGCTTCTGATCGTACATACGACAAATTTTGGCTTCTTCCTGCTATTGTAGAGAATAGTGTGCTAGCTCGCATAAGGCTCGCCAGCAACAATACCGGCCGCTTGGGTCAGAGAAGTAGTTTCTAAGTTCACTATTTTCCATTAAACCCCCTAGCTATAAATATAAACAGGAATGTCAAATAGTTGTAATAGAAAGTTAAATAACTTTGATCTTCCTGTCAGTGCAGCCTGAGTAGGAGGCAATGAATGATCAACACCTCGCTGTTCTGAGATTTTTGGCGACCCTTAGCTTCAGTTTTAGGTGAAAAGAAAGGGAGGTCAGAGTTGCGTGGTATAAGTTAGAAAATATTCATACTATGACTTACTCTCTGTTTACAAGGAGCCAGTACGACTCCCGACCGAGGATCAACAAGTTGGGCGTTAACTCTTTATTGGTCATTTCACCGTATAGATTACTCATCCAAGACTTGGGACAGTACACTAGGGTTGTTCATTACCAGATATATGTTACGCACAGCACTGGACTCAGATTACTAATTCAGAAATGGCTCAGTTATAGACTACTAATAGACGTCCTAATTTTGATTTAAAATAGGCGGAAAGGGATGCCAACTGTCCGAATGATTACATTGAAATCTTGGATGGTTCGTATGGAAGCACTGTCCTAATAGCGCGATTGTGTGGCTTCAGCTTACAAGATGTTGATGAGAGAACATTTGTTTCCAGCAGTAACATGTTACTTGTGCACATGCACACAGACAATGACAAGGAAAATAGAGGCTTTTTAGCAAAGCACAAAGGTATTAAACTACTGAACTAAGTAAACCGAAACCTGGAACGTCGGAGCGCTGATATATACCAAATCCCGGAATTTCTGAGCGTTCAAAGGGGTGCTTAATTCTGTCAGTTGCCGAAAAAGCAAAATATAGAAAGCCCTCTGGCATGGTCTTGACTAAAACAATAAGACTACTTGCTCTTGCTTTCTGGCATTCTATGAGTATTCGGAAGACCCGGCAACTTAGTATTTAATTCTTATGACGACTACAAGTGTCTTTTCGTCAGTGGGTTAAAACGTGGGCTTTAAGAATGACGAAGACTGGACCAAAGTCCCCAAATATAGCTACTGGAACAAGATGGCAAACATTTTCATTAAAAGACATTTTCGTTCATTTCAACTAAGCTTCGCGTTTTCTTGGTGTAACTGCGCATCACAATGTAGCGTTCGGATTGTAACTCTGCTTTGCTAAGTAATGAGCGAGGCGTAAAGTGATTTATACTTCTTGTTCTTTTACATGATAGTACAGTTATTGAGTCAATTATTATTGTCGGCGGAGTCTCACTTTGAGTGAGCTCTGTTTGCTGTTTTCTTGTTGCAGTGAGCAGAGAGGCTTCGGGTCTCGGTTTCATGTCTTAAGAATTTGGTCTGTTATTTAGGAGAGGTTGCTGTTGTGCACCTTCTCGGATTGCACTGATCTGACCATCTCCTCCCAAGTATGTGTGACAATACATAAGGCATCGCGTTTTTATAAACTCTTGCGTGTTATTTTTGTAAGTTTTCTGAGTTGTAGATCGAATTGGGGCTGAGTCTTGGAACTTGCCTTGCAAACTTTGCCTACACTTTCGCGCTGGTCTGTCGTTAGTTATTGACCAGACTATTGACGAAACGTTTTGCCACAGATATTATACGATACCCTTTTAAAGTCCTGTGATCAACGTTTGGTTTATGGAGGACACCTAGGATGCAGGAAACATAACCAGACTTTTTGGCCTGGGTGATTTTTCGTTGCTCTTTTTGTGTGTTGTGTTTTCTTAGACTCTTCTTAGTACTCCACGCATCTTTACTGGCTTTCAGTAGTATTCTGGCGTTCTAACGCTCCAGGTTTCAGCATATATGAGTGTAACTACGCTTGCAATGTTTTTTTAAAGCCAGCAGTTATATGATTAGTTATGGACAATAGTTAACAAATAAAGAAGCCTTTCATGTGGCCTGTTATTTATATTTATTTATCTATTATTATTATTTTTTAATTATTTGTACTTTAGTAGGTCCACATCAGTCTCTGGCTGCCCCTTCTAACATACTCCATAAAGTATGTATGTATGTTCTGCTGTAAAGCAATTAAAACAGAAAGGGGCTAGAGTACGAACGAAGTCGAGTGCCTCTCTCTTTTTCTTAAGACTAATCGTTATGAAAGTTGATTCGTTTGCAATTCAAAACAACGCTAGTAATAAATATTGCTGGTCAGACGCAAAAGGACCCTGACAGCTAAACTATATGTTAAAAAATGAACTATACAAATGAATGATGCAAATTTAAGAGATTACTGCTTACAGAAGGCTCCTATAAGTAAAGAACTGTCAAAATGAAAAACTGAAATCTTGAACTATGATCTATTCATTTCGTATTGAACAATATCAACATTATGTAATAAGGAGGTTAACAACAGTAATAGCCTATGGTAAAAACAATCAATATCAACTTTTTTTATTTTTTATTTTTACTAAAAAAGGTATTTGTGATGTAAGGCTGACGGCTTTGTCGGGAACCATCATGTCTCCAAACCATCCCGATAACTACCCAACAAGACTAGCGTGCGTATGGCTCATTGATGTTGGCTACGGCTATCACACTACTCTGACTTTCCACAAATTTATGTTAGAAAAGAACGAAGGATGTTCATTCGACTGGCTATCAGTGAAAGAAGGAAATTCCACAAGTTCTCCGGAAAAAACCAGGGTTTGTGGCGACGTACTGCCCCCTATCATAGAGGCAACTGGGCCAGTGACGATTACCTTTAATACAGACGGTGATAAAGAGTTTGAAGGCTTTGATATCACATATCAGGCAAAAGGTAAAACCAAAACCAAACTAAATGTAGAAAAATTACAATCTAGCGGCAGATATCTGATATGGTGCAGCAGAGGTCAAAAAACATACAAAAAATTCGTTGCTAATTCTGTACTCTTCATCCCTTTTGAAATTAAAAGAAGCATTTCCACAAAATAACGTTTGGTACTTTTACAAACATCACCTCGACATCTAAAAAATACCTCAAAAAGGCTGCATCTCCTTGGCGGAAGCAGGAAAGCTTAAACAATAATGCAAGAGTTGGCTTCGAGTTTAGACCTCTAAGTTATATTTAGAAATTTGCTTTCATTGCTCAGATTATCTAGATAAGAGTAAATTGTTAAAATGGATTATCTACACCTGAGACTCGTGTGTAACTGAAGAGGTCAGTGTGAACTAAGGTAAACTTTATTAAAACTCCAGTGCTTTGAAACGCTAGCACTTCCTAAGCTTTTGTGGTTAATATTAAGGCATTATGCGCCTTTATGTCTAAATCATCTTGGAATTTTTCCACATTTGCTTTTTATTCCCTCGCAGTAAAACGTGTTGAATAATAATAATATTTGAAACCACTTTTTATTACCTTTGATTTAATTTAATTGTTTTTGACTCATTTCCATAACTCATTCTTGAAACTCGCTGTAACAGTTTATCTATGATGCCGAGTTCTCCACGGTTAAAAAAATTATTTCATTTTGGAAAAATTTCGGACCTGTCGACGGTTTTTTGTTCTTTTTAGGATGAACATTTTTCTGCATATTTTGTTAAATTTTTGAATTTTCAGTAATTTTCAAATGGAAGGCCCGTTTTGTTTACGATTTCTTGTTTATTAGTATTCTTTGTATAAAATGTTGATCCTAATCAGCGTCACATTTTTTCAGTCATTCAACCCCGTATTTAACCTAAGGGCGGGAATGAAAATCCTCCCAGGATTTTTCAGTTCGCTTAGTTTTACCGGGTAAAAAGGTCCTTACGTGTGATTAAATTCGTTATGCCAATTGGACCAGTTTGGTTGAGCACCAGCTCGGACAACATGGATTCTCCCTCCTCAGTCACTTTGCTCTGGCATTGCCGTTCTCAGGTCTCCGATAATGGGGAATCCGGTGTCTTCAAGCAAAGTGTGCGTGTGCGTGGTCTTAGATCTTCCTCTCTAAGTTTGTCCGTGTTGTGGCTGCCACAACACAAGATTCGATGCCTCCTCCTTTTTGTGTCTAACACAATGCCCAGCTACTCTCATTCTTCTTTCCCTGATCTTGCTAGAAACGTTTGGAGGTGACCGTACAGATCTTTATTTGTAACGTGGCCCCTCCAAGAAACGTTTAGTGCTGTGCGAAGCATTCTGGTATAGGCAACATCAATTTGCTTTTCTGTACTGTTGGTTAGAGTCCATGTTTCGCTGCCGTAAAGGAATACACTTTCTACTGTTGCCAGGATTTGTCTAACCTCCTTTAATTTCCCCACAGGATAGATTTCCAAATTTTGCCCAAGTTATTGCACGCCACCTAGGCTTGAGCTTTTCTCGTTTTCATGTTTTCAGAATCATCAATCCAAGGACCTAGATATTTAAAATCGGTCGCTATTCTTATTGAGCCATCGATTTTGGTCTTAATTAGTAGATATAGTCCGACATTTCTTGGTTCAACCGTAACGCCGGCAGGATTGCCATGTGCTTTTAATGCTTGCCTCATCGTATAGTCAAGGACGATTGTTAAGAGGTGTGGGG